GCATACAGTATATATTGTTCACGTTAGAAAAAACTAAGCTTCAGATTTCATTATTGTGTACAAATGTAGCTCCGTACAGAAGAAGAAAAGCCCGTGTGTTTTGGATGTTTGTGTACCTACTTGTTTCTTTCCTCCTGTAATTTAAAATGGTCTGTTCCTCAGCTAATTGAGTTCAAAGGGCTGATGTCATTACATTTCCTGGAATCGTGTTTCAGCAGGGGAAGTGGAAAAGTTAAACTCCAAGCGAGCTGCACATTGACGTCAGCTCCGAGTCATGTTGTGATTTAGTCAGTTCCTTTCTGCTTTGTCAAGTGCTGCTGACAGATTGAGAGTTGTTAACTAGCTCACCACTGCCTCTATCTCCAAGATGCTCTTGGCCTGAATAGCTCTGCTTGTCTCACTCACTTCACATTTCTCCTGAGGTAAGTATAAGCTTGAAGCGAGATTACTTTTAGGAAACCTGTGCTGCCTGCTTGAACAGACTTCAGGAGCTGGCTGGCAAGCTTACAGGGTGGGCGGGGCCTCAGGATGCGGCCGTCCTGCACGTGCCTGGTGAGAAATGGACCATGTACAGGCTGGAAGGTTTCTTTACTCACACTGGGTATGCAGGAACTTGTGATTCGGAGTGCCCTCCAGTGTTCATTCAGGGAAGTGCTTGTCTTTTCATTGTACCCCTAGGCGCTGGTATTTACACCTATCAGTAATTTTTTACTTGGTGTGCTTTTCTTGTTACAGGTAGTGATTTCGAAAGACTTAGTTACTAATAACCTTTGTGTCATTGCAACGTTGTTTATTCAGTGGTCTGGTTGGTAGCCCAGTCTTGAATTTTTGCAGTCGATTCAGAAAGAGTAGATGATTATAAACAGCTTCACCACAGTTTAGCTATTCAAAGTTAGTGGGTCTCAGCTCTCTTCCTGGATAGGAACATTTCACTGTCTTGAGCAAGTAAAACCTGTATTAAGTTGTTTTCTAAACTGTCTTGAGGAGCTCTGTTTTTCTCAAAGAAGTTTTTGTGACATTACAGAGATGGTATAGATTGTAGAACTCAAATGACAAATGTGTAAGTATAGATGAATTTAAAATAATCTCAGATACCGCATGTCATGTAATTCTTAGAACCTGAAGGCGTTTTTTGTTTTGTTTTGTTTTGTTTTTGAGTTGAAGCCTCACTCTGTCACACAGGCTGGAGGGCAGTGGTACATTCCCGGCCACCACAGTCTCGACCTGCTGGGCTCAGGCGATCCTTCCGCCTCAGCCTTCCAAGTAGCTGGAACTACAGGCATGCACAGCGGCTCATGCCTGTAATCCCAGCACTTTTGGAGGCAAGGCAGGAGGATAAATTGAAGCCAAGAGTTCAAGACTAGTCTGGGCAACATAGTGATTCCTCATCTCTACAAAAACTCAAAAATATTAGCTGGGCGTGGCAGTATGTGCCTGGGAGGCTGAGCCCAGGAGGTTGAGGCTCCAGTAAACTATGAATGTGCCACTGCACTCCAGCCTGGGCGACAGAGTGAGACTCTGACTCAATAAAAAGAAAATGAAAGACGAATACTGTATTTTTATAAATAAATGAATGTTTTTATACATTTTATACATTATAAATAAATAAATGTTTTTATACATTTATTTGTACAGAATGAATATACCATCCTTGAAGAGTTTTTATTTTTTTCAGTTTTACTAATAATGCTTATATACATGATTTGTCCTTTCCAATTTAAGCTTTTCAAAAGCTGAAATTTTAAAACTTTAAAATGTCAAACAATATAGAATACTTTTTCACAAGACCTGATTGTGGCTTTGGGAATCATTATTTTTAAAAATATGGTCAGTTCTTACAGAATCAGTGCTATTTTTAAAATGAATAACAAATTTCCTTTTTTTCTTTTTTTTTCTAAGAGCCAAAAGAGGGCTTAAAGAACCTTTTCAAAGATGTCGTAGAGCAGCTTTGGGCCTTTGGATCCTCAGTTCTGGGCTGTGTGGGTTGGCAGACCACATGGGTTGACCCAGATTGGTGGCTTTCAGACTTTCCATGACCCGCATTTTGTATATCATGGCACATTGGACCTGTGTGTGTGTGTGTGTGTGTGTGTGTGTGTGTGTGTGTGCGCGTGTGCATCCTACATCTTTAGAAAACAAGTTTCAAGCATAATAGTTATCCTTACCATGTGCAATGTACTCATACTTCCTTTTCTGTCTTCTTTCTTTTTTTTTTTAATGTGATTCTTGACCCATGAAATTGATTGTGTGACCCATTAATGGTCTGTAACTTACAGTTTTCCTAATACTAATGACTGGCCTGGAAAAGATTTTAGCAGCATTTACTTACAGGGTCATGAAATCAGATGTAAAAAGGAATTAGTTACAGTTTATAGGATTATGGCATTGATTATGTTGGGCTTAATTTAAATTTTTATTAGAAATTGAGTTTTGTTTTATTCTTAAGCTAATTAGGAGCATCATTTCATAATGTTTAGACTCTGAGTCTTAAGTTATATTCAGGCTGGATTTCTGAACTGTTGAAAACAAACTTTCCAGCTATTCAGATTTGGAAAACTAGTATCATAGCTAATATACGAGGTATGAGAATAAGGATATGTATTGCTGTACATAGGTACAAAGAAAAATGACATAAAAATGACTACGTAGTGTATTTAAGTGGAAAATTATGTATTTTTAAAGTGTGTAACTATTGAAAGTATATTGCTTGGAAAATGAATACTACTGTACTATTTTTTTTTTGAGTCCATAAACTGTATTGTTAAGGACATTTTTAAGAATCCCATTAGCTATGACACCCATCGAATGTGTGCCTATCTTAAGCAGGAAAGGACATTATTGGAACAAAATAAATAAAACCTTAAAAAAAAGATATGTAAGAGGCTATTGGCATTGAATTTTTTGTTTTGAAATTCACATGAAAAGAATGGCTCCATTATGTTCCATTTTCTTGTGAAAATTTTGTTTGGAAATTTTCACATAAAAGAATGGTTCTGTTTAGTTCATAACAGCTTCTTGAAGCTGGTAGCAGACCAGGTTATAATCATGTTGGAAGTAAAAATAGCAAGTCACTTGTCTACCATAAGTTTCAATAAAACTCCAAATCTGTATGGAGGGTGAAATTGAAAATTGGTATTATGCTATTTTCCTAGTACTTTTGAAAAATGTTTAATGAAATATAATTTTGGATACTTATTTCACTCTGTTTTGTTTTCCTATGTGAATATATTACCTAATACTATAATCATGATATTTTGCATTTATACAAACTTAAAAATAAAAGAAAATTAGTGTTACAAATAAACATAAATACAAGTCATAGAAAGTGCTACCAAAGAAGCTATCAGATTGTGAGTGATACACAGGAAACAGGAAACACAGGTTAAAGGATTAGGATAGGCCTCACTGAGGAAACATTTAAATGCTGACAAAGAGAAGCACTTTTTGCATGCATCCTCACTGGTACACACAGGTCAGATACGATGTCATCTCGTGTCCAATTAAACATAGGCCCGAGTGAGTGGATGACTTCCAGGTTTACAAAGCTAGCAAGTAGTGAACCAGTTTGAGTCTTCAGATTCTTTCTTTGGTTCTGAGGTCAGACCATTTTACGTTGCTTCTCAAAATTCACCTGATACTGATAAATTAATGTGAATGTCACATGAGTTACAATTACATGCCACATACTGCTTATGAAATATATAAAATAAAGTTAGCATCATTTTAAATAGTCACGTTGGAGTTTTGCTAGAAATTATTACTTTCATAGGACAACAGAGCATATATTTGCTATTATATAGAATATTAAATTTCATTATCCATAACTTACCATATTTTATATAGACTTTGACTCTTAAGATTTCTTACTTAATAAACAAGTTAGGAAGGTCCTTTACATGTACTTGCTTAGCTTGACTGTGATAATGATTTCAGAATGTGTGTATATATCAGAGCATCACATTGTACACCTTGAATATATGCAATTTTTATTTGTCAGTTCGACCTCAATAAAGCTGAAAAAACGTGATGACAATTCTATGTGGTCTATGTGTTAAAGTAATTGTAACACATTTGAAAACGTTCAGTGTGTAAATAGCTGTTTTTATGTAGGAGTTAATTTTCCTGGAGAAAATGGAACGGTGCTCAAGGAAACTTCTTGGCAGTGTGGGACACCAGGCGTGGACAAGCAGCGTCTGAGTATTAGCAGCACTGGTGGGGAGGGAGCCGGCAGACAGAACTGGAGGTGTCTGTAGCCTACAGCAGCTAGGGAGTGGTGCCCCCACTTATACGTGTGACTTCTCTTTTGCTTATGTGGGTGTATTTAGGATTCGTGACACAAATGACAGATGAAGGCAGGAATTCTATAGAAATGTATGTATTCAGTCAGTGTGCTCAGTGCTATAGATACCTCAGTAAATAAATAATCCAACAAAATCATCATTTGGGGTATTGATAAATTGTGTCACTTTGAAAGCTATCAAGAGGGCATTTGGCTGGGTTTCTTTGTTTCCAATTCTGACTTGTGAAGTTTTTCAGTTTTTTATTACTAGTCTGTTGAGAATATATCATCTGGTCATTTGTGATTCTCTACCTTCAAGGTTCTATTATAAATGATTATATACATTGAGTAGGATACTTTATGTTATCTTTTAGTAATTTATTATCTAAAGGACTATAACAAAATATTATAAATATTAAAAAATTTTAATAGGCCTTGTTTTTAACAAAATAAGGAATAAGAGCCATAATTTTGATCCCCTGGATTTGTTAGAAGGGAAGCTCCAGGGATGTTATTTATGGATGTTATATGCCCTCTAACTAATATACAGTATATGCCTAATTTGGAACATTGTCTTTCATAACTTAAGGAAGGGAAGAGGAAGGGGACTAACATTTGCTGAATGCCTATACCATGTGCCAGGCACTGTACTAGACACTTTGACATACATTACAGGGTTTATTGTGAGTATTAAATGAGATCATGTATCCCCGTTTTACAGATAAGGAAACTGAACTTGCCCCAAGGCACATGGCTGGTAAGTGGAAGAGCTGGACTAGAACCCAGACTCCAAGCCCCATGCTTTTTCTGCTGTACTGTATTTGAAGCTTACAAAGAGAATTATACAGTTAATGACCAGAATCAAGAGTTCTAGAAATTTCCTTTTCCCACAAAATATTTGATACTGAATCTACTTTTTTTCATGTTAGGAGTTAGATGGTTATCATTAGAACTCTTCTGCTTCTGAAACGTCACATTAGATAAATGTATCTAAGGAAAATTTATGAAATAATGCCTTTTAGCAAGAAAGGTTACTTTGAATAAGCACACAGCATCTTGTAGGGCTTTCCATGTTAGTGCTAAAGACTTAACTGTAACAATATAAGCCAGTAAATGACAATGAGTTTGTGCAAAACTCTAGGAAGTTAAAAACTTATTTCGGAATATGTACATCAATTCATGAAGCACATGTTATGTGCCAAATACTATGCTAGATTCTAGGGATACTAAGGTCACATGGGTACTGTTCCTGACTTATCTTAAAGGCTTTGCTTTCCTGAGAATAAAGTTAGTATGTAAGTATCTTTTTCCTATTATCTTTCTTCAGTCGTGATTTTAAGCCCCCACTGATGGCCCATATATTTTCAGAAAATGAAAATGAAATTCTAGAATAAAAAATAATTTTGGGCCAGGTGCGGTGGCTCAAGCCTGTAATCCCAGCACTTTGGGAGGCTGAGGTGAGAGGATTGCCTGAGCCCATGGGTTCAAGAACAGCCTGGACAGCTTGACGAGACCTCATCTCTACAATAAATCAAAAAATGAGCCGGGTATGGTAGCGCGCGCCTGTAGTTCCAGCTACTTGGAAGGCTGAGGTGGAAGATCACTGGAGCCCAGCAGGTTGATGCTGGGGTGTCCATGAGCGTGCCATTGCACTCCAGCCTGGGTGACAGAGTGAGACTCCAACTTAAAAATAATGATAATAACAATGTGGACACTTTTAGCAGTTAATATGGGACAGGAATTGGTCTTTATAAGAGTACAGGAATACAAAAATGTCATCAGAGAATGTAGGATGGGTCTTTGAACTATGATCCTTGGTATTTAACCTGTTATACATTTTACTGAATTTATAATATTGGAAACTTGAAGCTGACTAACATAAACACTTTTTTAAATAGCTTATTTCAAAAATAAAACTTTTTGACATTCAGATTTTCTCAAAACAAGAGTCTCTCTCTGCCCAGTTTTCTAATTTTTGTTTTTTGTAGACACAGGGTCTCACTATGTTGCCCAGGCTGATCTTGAACTCCTGGCCTCAAGCGATCCTCCTGCCTTATCTTCCTGAGTAGCTGGGAATACAGACACATGCTACCACATCCAGCTATTTGTGCCCATATTATTTATTTATTTATTTGTATTGGAGTCTCACTCTGTCACCCAGGCTGGAGGGCAGTGGCATGCTCACAGCTACCACAGTTTTGACCTGCTGGGCTCAGGCAGTCTTTCTACCTCAGACTTCCCAATAGCTGTAACTACAAGTGTGTGCTACCACTTCCGGCTAATTTTTTGGTTCATTGGAGAGACAAGGTATCACCAAGTTACCCAGGCTGGTCTCGAACTCCTAGGCTCAGGCAGTCCTCTTGCCTTGGCCTTCCAAAGTGCAGGGATTACAGGCATGAGCCACTGCACCCTACCTGCCCATACCTTTTTAATGTGCTTTACTAATAAGATTATATTTATAGCCAGGCTCGGTGGCTCAGACTGTAATCCCGTGCCTTGGGAGGCTGAGGTGAGTGGATTGCCTGAGCCTGCGGGTTCAAGACCCGCCTGGGTAACTTGGCGAGACCTCATCTCTACAATAAATCAAAAATCATCCGGGCG